CTCAAAAATCACACGGTTTCAATAATGGCTCTATTTCACAACGTTCCACAGGTCATACCGGTGGTGTCTCTATGGTTGAGAAGGAACTGATGCTCCACGTTGCCGGCAGCTCTCACATTGAATCTCCATCGACCATCACTCCAACAACTGAAACTAGTCCAATGGAATCTAACAAGCTCTTACTGCAATTGCCAACCAACCAAACTGAAAAGATTGAATCAGAATTATCTCCTTCTCAGAATGGAACTAGTTCTGCATCTTCGTCAATGGATGACGATCACCATCACGAAGTTGTTGTCTAAGAATCCCTCTAAGGAATTGATGAAAATCAACAAGAGCACTTTAATTGTAACAATAGCAACTCAGCCCAACCTTGTAAATACCATCCACCACCCACTCTGTTAATTTCAACTCATGAGAATGAAAGAAACTCATACACGGAGCTCCAAAGCCAACCAGATCCTCAAATTCGAATCAAAATTTTCGGTTACCGCCAAAATAGAAACAAAATTCAAAAATAAAAAAATGAACCAAGATTTCAACTCTCCGAATTCAGCAAATAATTTTAATAATAATTTTAATAGTTTCATGTATCAGCAGCATCAGCAGCAGAATAATCAACAACAACAGCAAGAACAACAACATGGATTTTCATTGTTTCCGTTTGGTTCGCCTCTGTCTTCTTCTTCTTCGGCAATGAATTCAACTGCTCCTTCTTCATATTTTCAAGCCGAATCGGGACCAGCAATAGCCTTTAATCATGGTGTTGGTTCGTCTTCGACACAAAATAGTAATTCAGAGATGGATATTCAATTACATAACATGATGATGATGATGCAGGGAGGAGGAGGCATGATGCCAAGCACCTTTTTAGAATTATTTAATTTTGCTGCAATTAATCCAAGTCTTGACAATAATAGTAATAATAATTTGATGCATACAGTAGTAGGAGGAGCTAATACGGCAATAGTTGATTCAAATAGTGATATTTTGTTGGGAAAA